AAGTTGATGTATTCCCTCAGCGACCAGCACGGATCAGCTCCAGGCATGACGAAGCGGATATCGTCCTCTTTTGGAAGGCCAAACAAAGTAGTTTCTCTTTTACAACGAAACACACAGCGTGTCCACAACTTGGCAGTGGCGTCAACAACTTACTACTACTACGACAGCGTAGAATAAAAGTTACACCTTCTTTCTTTGCGTGAACATTTGGGCGGCGTTATGCAAATCTTCCCACATTGTGATGTAGACATGTGGGGGCGTGTTAGAACGAGCCGTTTTAGGTAGGCGTGGTTGACTCGTAACTTTTATAAAGAATATCTCTTTGAATTTGAGACTTTAGTCTTTGCAACTTTACAGATCTTCTTTATGCACCAAGAGCTTGTAACACTCCAAAGAGAAAGGAACATTTTAAATCGCATCATATGACCCCTTTAACTATAATAATCCAGTAAAACGTTTGATTTAAATTTGTAAAAATACTAATCATTCTTTTAAGTAACGTAACATTTACTCAAAAAAACAACAAAAAAAACCATTCTTTTATGTATCATCACATAACACAACATCTTGTTTTAAATTTGTCCAAATACAAAACCATTGTTTATTTTGAGGTTTAAACTCAATATTCAACATGGCATCACACTTCCAGCCCCACTGTATTTCACATTCAAGAGATGCAAAAGCAAATGCACAAAACACACCTATTTATGAAGATGTACAAAAATGCTACAAAAATAATAACGAATAAAAATCAGCATCACCGCCGTGGCACAGAGTGCCCTTAAGGGGCAAAACTATGATTTGAATATCAACACATGAATACAAATTTTCTGTATGAATGTATTCAGCAGAGGTCACAGGCTCCACAGGAGGTTTTGTCTGTTGTCCTCTTGGGTTTCAGGTCTGGCCTTTCTCCCTCACCTAGTTCCCATATCTTTTTCCTCTCCTGAACCCGTGTGTCATTCAGGTTCAAAGGCCTCAGCCTTAAGCGCAGCCGTGCTGCTCTACTGTAGTGGCTCCTGAAGCTCTAAAAGGCTCCTGCCTCTCTCATCTGCCACCCTCTGTACTACAAACACACCATTCATATTTATGAGAAATTAGAGGAAAACCTCTTTTCCGCTCACCTTTTTTGTCCTACAAGTATATGTTTTTCTCAAGTGACTGACTTGAATAACAATGTAATTTGCTAGCTATACATATATTCTACTGTCAACAACAACTATTTTTTGCCAAAAAGGTTCCTGTACTTGACTTACAAGAAGCAAACTTACTTAGACTATTTACGTTTTCTACTTTTACAAGAGCTGTCACTTCTTGTAGTATAAAATAAGTCGTGTGAAAAGGGAAAGTGGCAGTATGCTGTGAACGTACATTTATCAGGAATAATGAGAGAAGTCAAAAGCCACACTCCAGACATTTAGACCCTCACAGCAAATTTGTCTTTTCTTTCTAGGCCTGATGGGAAACTCCATCATTGCATTACATGAGTGCAGGAGCATCTTGAGCACCCATGATAAAAAAAAACAAAAAAACGTAGAGGTTCATCTTGTACTCACTTCTATCTTCAGGCCGAACTGTCAGTCTCAGAACAGCTGTGTACAGAAATACGAATTATACAATCTGAACGATATAGACCTCCCACATATTACAAACATGCCTGCAATCTAACCAGCGCCAACACACCCACACACACAAGCATGAATGCAGACACTGAGGGAAATTAATATGTTCCGCATTTGTATGCATACAGAAGTAAATTAAATTTGTACACAGAAATGGGTGAATGTCATAAACCCTGTCAAAAACATGTCTGTTTAATATTCTGCCTCTAAAAAAATTATATTTAATACAATTTACATTATAATAAAAGAAATAAGTTATATTTTGCTAACAGAACATATTAAATCTATTTTAGGACCATGAAATTTGAATTGTGATATGGCAATTTAGTACATTCCCCATCCACACAATAATAATAATATTAAACTATGGATATATAATAATAAATAATAAATAAAATTGCAATAATAAAAATTAAATACAATTCAATAATAATAATAATTTTGCTTATCATTTTTTTTTGTGCTATTTTAAATAAAACATAATTGTATTACTGTAATTTTTAACATAATACGATAAAAATAAAATAACGGAATTATGGCCAGTCTGCAAAATATTAGATTCATCACAAACTGTAAATAAATAAATAAATAAATACATACATATATAAAAATGATTTAAAAAAATCTACATGCATTAAAGTAATGATAATTTAATCTTAATACTCCTAGTTTTATTTAAAATAAACTTTCTGATTTTGGGGGATATGTAGATTCATTTGGGGTTGCAAAGTGGTTTTCTTGCAGAACTGTGCAAAACTGTTGCAGCAGGTTGAATTTTTATTCCATACTTTAACATACTGTATCAGTCACAGAGACCCGGTAAGCCTGGTTTCACTCAAATATGAAATTATCCCTTCAAACATCCTGAAAAATCAGAGGCTTCTTGCTAAACTACAAACTCCTTCCTGTTTTGTACTCTCTCTGTCTCACACACACACACGCACACAGACACACACACCACTATAAACACAATGACCCCTCCCTCCCTTTAGACCATTAGCGATAGACAAACCATTTTTTAAAATACAATAACAGGAGCACAATGACCTTTCCTCATAGACAGAGGACAGAGAGCATCTGACCCCCCCATGTCATCATCCCAAAGCAGCTAACAATCTCTGCTGCGCTAACCAAACCCTGACCTACTGCAAAGACAAATAACAGCTCCTGAAAAACAAATAAAATGTCAGCATTATAAATATTCATCAAGGTGTATTATAGCTGATGTAAACGTTTAAACTTTCATTACACAAGGCCTCATCTATGACCTAAGCAGTCATTTATAAGATGTGACTATGAATATTTATGCACGTTGCTCATTTTGGAAGGTGAGTTGCCACTGATTATGAATTATGAAGACATTAAGGAGTGATGCTTAGTCAGTTGAGTACGCACAGTAAACTTGTTTCAAGCTGCATTATTCATTACCTGTGTGATAGTAATATACTCCTCTGACTGCTGCTTTGGAAGAAAATCCACATATAATATCGCATCAGCTCCAACGTTAGACTGTTTAGAATTGACGACTCGGCTTGTCACGACATAATGTCAGCTAGAAATCCATTAAAAAACATTAAAGCATTTACATAGGACAACTGGAATTAAGATAGGATAAACTGGCAGTTGGTTTCAAGCGATTGAATGTAAATATTTCACTTCATCCAGCTCTCTTTTTGTTCTCTGTGTTTGAAAGTTTCCCTTTACTGTCTGACGGAGCGAGAAACTGCTCCAAACAATTCAGTCTGCATCACGGCGACAATTAATCAATATAAATTCTCTGTTAATCCACGTTATTTAATTCTTCCCTTAGTAATTTACTTAGTCTATTCACTTGTGTCTTCATGTTTGCCAGCGGCAGAACAAATGCTTATAGGAAAGTTTGACTACAGAACAGTGGGATTACTGAGCATGATGTGTCAATAATTATTTATGTATTTATTAATTACAGCTGCACATTGTAGTCATGGCTTAACACCCGCCATTTAGTTGTCATGTTCATCAGCTGTGGTTAGGGATAATTTTTAGAGCGTGTCACTGACCACACCGGTCATTATGGTAATGATATGAATGATTACTTGGTAATATGATCTGGGCTTTGGTATGTTGCGCTGATGACAAAAGAGAGCCAATGCCAGCACTCACCTCTTTCTCACCGCAGATATTACTGATGATGGAGTTGGATGCCGGGCTGGCAGAGGGGCCCAGGACCGCCACAACCCCCTTGGACATGATCTGGCACACTGTCAATAGTTAAAGGAAAGACAAGCTGTCATTTATTACAGACAGAGAGCAGAAGGAAAGCAAAATGTAACCCTGCCAAGAGTGCTTCTGCCCCATTTTTATTCAAGGATACTGTATCTGCCATGGAAGTCTATTATACCCAGACAAAACAAAAAGTACAGAGAGTTTTAGCATACTCATTCATCTCGATGCGAGTTGCTTGGCTGGCACATGTGATTTGAAATCTCAATGAAAACAATATGTGACTAATTACTTTGGATTTGCAAGAAATTGATGATAAAACCAATTTAATTACAATAATCAGTGGTGCTAATAATAATAATAATAATAGAATAAAATAATCTTTAAATAATAAGATAATTAATAATAATAAAAAATAATAATCATTACCATAATATTAACAATTAGTAGTAGTAGTTACAGTAAAACAACAACAATAACAGAATAAAAATAAATCATTAATTAATAGCTAATATCAACAATTATTAATAATAAAATAATCACCACTGTAATATAAACAACTGCTAATAATAATTAGGGGTGGGCAATATACCAGTAGACACGATTAACCGGTAGAGATTTTCGCCTATCGTCTCTATTACGGTTACACGCTCATGTGACATTGCTGTGCTATGTGGTCACGGAAACTTATCGTTTGCACGGGTTTTTAAGAATCGCGGTTTAAAAACAAGTGATTTGAAGTCACTGAAACGCAATCAGCAGCAAAAGAGAACTCATTGTGCTATATCTTTTTGCACGTCAAGATGTTTTTTTTTTAAGCTTTATAGACTTTGAATGGTTAAATACACACCTGTATGTGTCAAAATGCCTATCTTTGCAAGTATCCTCGTAAACACAGTAATTTAGGTCTTAAGTGGAAGCAAACAGCTAGAAAGAAAACACATGTGTAACAGTTTATTGTCATTCATGTTAATCAAAAAACAAAAGAAAATCTCTCACTGCTCTTGACTAAATCACTTTTGTAACTTTAATAAGAAGAAATATATATTTACACAGTAAAGAATAGGCAGTGTTTTTATACATTTGATTCATTTATACAATGTATGTAGCATTTCTTATTTATTTGTTCTACTGTAGTTGTTTTGTCCTATTGCTTGTAATTAGTTTCTTACTCTTATTTAATCACTGACTGTCTACTTGTCTTTAGTGAACTTGAGCTTTTTTATTTAGGCTAGCATTAGTTTTTTTGTGATATTGACACTTGTGACAAGAATTATGACATTTCTATGGTATCAAAAATGTTGATATAATAAAGACCTTATATAAAGCAAAAATAACTATATTGTGATATATATTGTTACTAGGGTTGCAAAAAGGTGGAAATATTTCAGAAATTTTGGAAACTTTCCAGGATTTTATGGAATATTCCAGGGATTTTTGGAAAGTTTTCGGAAATTTACCGGAAATTTTCCACCCCTTTGCAACCCTAATTGTTACTGTGAAATAAAATTACTCATATTGTGATGGAAGACTTTGGCCATATCGCCCACCCCTAAATAATAATATAAAAATAATAACTAATAAAATAATCATTGTTAAAATAATAATAATAATAATAATAATAATAATAATAAATACATAAGGAACTCATCTAATATAATGCTATATTTAAAATATTCATGTTGCTTGCAAACAGATGTATTCCATTAGAACAAACGCCTACTTTGGAACAACCTTCAAAAGAGAAATATGATGTTTGGGTCCAGATGGTGCAGTTACTGAATCTACCAACAGAGGCTAATGGTCCATGCTAATCAGCCAAAACCTGACCCTTTGGTGTCCACTCAATCTGTTCTAAAATTACTAGCAAAACCCAAATAATTCCATTTTATTCAAGAACGAGTTTTAAAGAGCTCACTATAATCTCAATCTAGCACAACCTATTAGAGGCTTAGCGCTGTTATTAATCTGCTCTTTTTCAGTCTCTCACACAAAATTACATTTTATTATTAGCTGACCTTTGAGTGAAGTGTGTCTTGAAATTATATTTGTGATTAGGAGCAGGAGGAGGAGTAAGAGGTAGATTTGTTTCTCACTCTCCGACACACGAGCAGGGCATCGGTCTGAACTCTAACAGAGTGTCATTTCACATGGGTTTATAATCCCTCTCTGCTTTAATTATGATGGTGTGGGCAGTGTATGAGCCAGATACTGGTGCTCTGAACACTTAAGCAGGGCATGCTGGGAACAAAGGAAAGGGAAACAATGTGATTACAAAGCACCAGTTGATGCAGAGTTTTTTTTTTTTTTTTTTAACTCATAATCTCATAGTAACCAATACAAATGCAGACACCTGTGGAAGCCTCTGTTACTTGTCTCCCCATAATACATCGCAAGCATATCTCCGCGCTGCCCTGAATGGTGATGAGCTGCATTTTTAGGATCACTACACACTGCTACAGTGAATACACAAGCATTGATTTCACAGGTCGGCTGCTCTCAGTTGGAAATCAAGTGTAGCCTACAGGAGGTGGACACCCTTATGGATTCATGTCAACCTTGCTGTGCACTGTTATTCTTCTAAATACGGCTTTCAGCTTGTTAATGCAATTAATGACAATAATTCTCATGATTTATTGGCATTAACACTATTAGTAGTATATGATTCTTAAATAAACAAAGCTTCCAAAAGGGATTTTTGCAGCGATGCCACAGAAGAACCATTTTGTGTTCCCAAACAATCTTTCAGTGAAGGAAAAATTGAAATCGCATCATATGACCCCTTTAAAAGAAACATTTTCTTTTAGTGTGAAAAACATTTTAATAGTCATTTAAAACCTTTTCCAAAATAAAAAATCTTTTGTGCACTGGAAATGTTGTTAGAGGTTCTTCATGGAGGCACAGATGGCAATAAAGCAGCTTCATTTTTAAAAGTGTACTGTACATTTTCTTATCAAAATGTATTGCATTCAGTTTTTCCTAACTCTTTAAAAGTAAAGAAAATTGAGTCAAATGCAAAAAGGTCTGCCAATATCACTCAACTTCTGTGACAATTAAATTCCACCAACTCCAACTAACTTCTGTTAAAAGTCCCATTTGGACATGATTTATACATATGGTGGTTTCTAAAACTTATTGGAAATGACATGTTTAGCATAATTTCGAGTGAAAAGTTGAATTGAAAATGAAGTACAGCAGCATAAACTCTACCAGTTTGTTGAAACCTTTTTGCTTTCCAGCATGATTTGAGAATGATCATCTTGGGCTTCAATGACAACAAAAACACCTGACCATCAGTACAAAACGACATTTATTTGATTAGTGACTAGAAATTGTGCAGAATCTGAATTTTTGTCATTTTATGTGATAACATTTCTTTATTTAGTTTTTTGTCCCATTACTGTATATTTTTTATTTTTAAATTAGATCAAAATAAGTCAGACTAAATTTACTTCATCTTTGAACTAAAAATTATTCAATACTATATAACCAGTTTTTGCAGTGGCTTGTACTTCACTGGTAATTCATTAAATAAAAAACATTGCATTTTTTATTAACTTTAATTTTTTTATAATCTACATTTGATTTATACATAAGTGATCTATTAAGAAACACCTTTTCCTATCATTTACTTATCTCGAGACAGGTAGTGGGATTGCTGTGCCCAAGCATTAAAGGGTTAGTTCACCCCAAAATTAAAATTCTGTCATTAATTTCTCACCCACAAGCCATTCCAAACCTATAAGTCCTTCGTTCATCTTCAGAACACAAATTAAGATATTTGTGATGAAATACGAGAGCTTTCTGACCCTCCATAGACAGCAACACAACTGAAATGTTCAAGGCCCAGAAAGGTAGTAAGAACATCGTTAAAATAGTCAATGTGACATCAGTATAGTAGATATTTCTGTTTTCTTTGTGCACTAAAAGTATTCTCGTAGCTTCATAAAATTAAGGCTGAACCACTGATGTCACATGGACTATGTTAAGGATGTCCTTATACCTTTCTGGGCCTCAAACATGGTAGTTGCGTTGCTGTCTTTGCAGGGTCAGAAAGCTCTCGAATTTCATCAAAAATATCTTAATTTGTGTTCCAAAGATGAACGACGGTCTTACGGGTTTGGAACAACTTGTGGGTGAGTAATTAATGATAGAATTTTCATTTTTGGATGATCTATGCCTTTAAACACAGACAACTGTGCAAAGTCTTGACTGTTCTGATCAGCTTTTGGAAATTATAAAACAGAACGAAGCATTAGGAATATGTACGTAAATGTACATATTTCACAACTATAAAAAGTATTTATCTCAGTGTTTTACTATACAGTCTTCCAAGAATCGTTCATAAGGCATGTAGTTATTAACCCTAGCATGTACTACGATTCACGAGGGTCAGGTGATTCACAGTTATGACTGACTGGAGTCGAATCTTTTGACATTACCCTCCTGCACGGCTGATCCAGAGAAGGACAATGAATCCATGTGGATTGAGTAAGCACCATGGATTGTGGCTGGCATCAGGACGTCTCTGTTCATGTCAGATCACAAACATTAGTATGCAGACCACATGCAAACACACACAATGTGGGCTGTGGGAAGATGCAGGCTTCAGCGATTTCAGACGGGAGTATGCTAGGGCAGGTAGCGGTGGTGTGACATTTCTCCCTTCCTGGGAGTGTCACTGATCCATTTCTAATTCAATTCCTGCATACTGCAAGCTATTACAATACTGAATTAGACCGAACAGGGTTGTGCGACAAACCGTATAGAGTGCAAAAGAAAGCTGTTTATATCTATCAGGAGGGGCATTTTAATGGCGCCCAGAGAAACCAGGAGAGGCTTTTCATCCTTAACCGCCATGTCTCAACAGCTCTGATTGTTTAAATTACAGCTTGTCGTCTCCTGATTTTAGTGCCGCCTACTTTCATTGCCAACAATGAACCGCAGTCATGTTTAATATCCCTCTGTGAGTGAGCAACTCTATTTTGTTCTCCCCAACGCTATTTAATTCAGGATTTGCAAGGAAAGCATTATTAAATCTAGGGCCTCAGAGTAAAGAAGGCACACAAAGATTGACTGGCAGCTGTTAAAGTAAAAGTCGCACTATTCGTTTGAAACCCGCTGACTGTCGGTTTAAATTTTATAGGCAGAGTGAAGTTCAAAAGTCTGAGCCCACATTGAAAATCTCAGATTCAAACCAATAAACTGAAAGATTTATGATACTGCAAAATGTAAAACAAAATGTTATGACCCGAAATTCATGATAACTTTTCCCGTTTAAATTATGCTCATAGTTAAAATAAATAAATAAATAAATGATTTTGCAAAATGTAGAACCAAAATGTTATGTTGTGAAATACAAAAATAAATGATTTTGTACAATTTAAAACAAAATGTTACAACAAAAATTTAAGAATATTTCAGATTCTGCCCTATTTTTAGTGCAGTCAATTTATGAAATAAATACATTTCTAAAATTCAGATTGTTATAGATCTAATTGAACACTGATTCTTATTGGAGATTGTGTTAATAAAAATGTCTGTAATGTAATTTGTATATGGCGTATCAGCTGACCTTCGAGAATGACTTTGCCGTAACCAAGGAGACAAATATTGTTCCAATAAATTCCTGCATACCTTCTGACTACGAAGACATCCGAATATGACAGCACACTTGAAAACCTGTTAATTTAATTGCTTTCACATAATGGTCCCTTTCTTTATCACAGAACACATCATCTGCTACTAGCCAAGAACATATGGAGAGATGAAACTGACAGACACTCTAATTAAGCATGTATATAAGCCTATTTATATGTGTGTCACTGCACTTCATTACAAAAGTTGGAAAATATTAAAACAAGAAAAATTGTATTTCCTTTAGAAGATGTAAATGATATCAGGGACGTGCTCATACTCAAAAACCAAAGTTTTGCTTTTGCTGAATACCAAAGTATTCAGTGCATGTCTTGCAGAAGGAATGCCCTCACAAGGACACAATTATCTCATAATTTGCCTTTACCTGTAAATCATTATAATACCTACAACTGCTAAATAAAACCCCACAGTTAAGGGACCATTTTTCAGCTAAAGGACAGCTGTGAAAATTAAAATTAAAGAGCTTTGCAAAAAGGTTCTATCTAAAGTAAAACAAATGTATGGAGTAGGAAGAGGCATCAATGTAGTATCTAGCATACATACAGTATATTATGCACCTTAATCTAAATGGTTAGGGACAGTTCTCCCAAAAATGAAAATTCTGTCATCATTTACTAACCCTCATGCTGTTTCAAACCTGTATGACTTTCTTTCATTAATGGAGCACAAATGAAGATATTCTGAATTAGGGTTGGGCGATGTCTACAAAATTGGCATTGGACGATATCTAAAGTGAAACATTGCGATGGACGATGACATCGGGGTGAGGGGAGTGGGCATGAATCCGTATTCAGAAAGGCACGGAAAACAAATAACGATTGCTAACGGTTGCCTGTTACATTACAGTACATAAAATTTCACTTACCACATAAACAGAGTAAGGAGAGATGACTGATGAAGATGGCGAATTATTTGCAGATCCTGAGCACCACTGACAAACATCTAATCTTGTAAAATGTGTGGTAAGTACTTCCGCTTCATAGTATAAACAGAGTACGTGTGATCGCGAATCTCTAAAGTGAAAGTGAAACTAAAAAGCAATCGTGCATTCAAAGTTTCAATGCCAGGCATAATAGCGGCTCCTTGATGCCCGCAATTTATATACAGTGTAATTACCCAATGATATAACTGCGAAATAAAGTATTGAAATATATATTTTCCTCCCATCTCATATTTATTCCCTTTAGGGGTTCCGTATACATGTCACCTTTCCGAACACATTATTGGGATGTGGCGGTTTGTGGGGGGTATGGGGGGATCACGATGCCGGCTCAACATCGTGATGTCTATCACCCATCGGCGATGGATTATTCTGAATAATGTTTGGGTCCAAACAGCATAAGATTCCATTGACTTTCATTGTATGGACAAAAAGTTATTTTCTTAATTTTCAAAATATCTTTTTTGTGTTCCACAGAAGAAAGAATAAAGGCAGAATTTCCATTTTTGGGTGAATTGTCCCTTTAAACTAGGCCTTTCTTAAGTAAACATAATCCTGGGTTATCTGGTTCCATGTTTCATACTATTCCACTATTCATAGTACTTTATCCTGGGTAAATTAAACAAATGTGTTTACAAAATGTATATAAAAATAATGTGATCATATTATGTTATTGTGCATAATGCATGATTTTAAACATAGCAAAAGCTATATTTATTATATTATTTAACTGAATATAAAATATATATTGCCTTTTAAAATATATACAAATACTATTTAAAAAAAATATGTATAAAAATTATACTGTATGTAAAATTATATACATCTCAGAAATTATATAACACATTTGAATACTCACTAGTTTCCCCTGTCTCGTATTCACTGTCTCGGAGCAGCTCAAAGATGTCCACCTCTAGCTTCCCTGTGGTGGAGCGGTTGCTGGAACGGTTGATGCTGTCTTTCGCCAGAGTGATGGCCAGTCGCTCCCCGCGGCTACACTCCATCGGGTCATCAAGAATGGCAGCTGGGACACAGTTCAAAAAGACAGAGAAAGACTCAGAAAGTGAGACAAGATATTTCGACAAACACAACAAGAGATTAAGAAGTCCTCAAGATACTGCAGAAATCATTCAAAACAGTGAAGAATGTAGACACAAGTGTTTCTGGGTCGTCTTTGTTCGCATATTAAAGCGCTTTCGTTCACAGTAGACAAGATTAATGCTGTTCTTTGACATTTTTCTTGGTAGACTGACACAAGTGCTCCATGTAGTGTTTTGCTATGAATGACTGTCACAATGTTGTGTAGTAAATAAACAATATCCTTGCACTATGTTAACAGTCACTGGCTGCTTAGTGCTGTACGTACTGTATGCCCACTTTTGTGAACCCATATCATTTTCAATCCGCTTTGAATATGTCTAGTCCATGGTGAGTTGACGCAAGGCTTAGCAACAATATACAGTATGTCACAGCCAGTATCTGACGCTCAGGGATATTCAAATCTATGTAAAGCAAATAACATTTACATTTTTATCACTGTAATATTTGACGTGAGAAAAGCCTAAGGATGTCTGACATCAATTCAATAGCAAAAGTCACAATTTTTAAACAAAACTGCAGATGGAAAGCTTTATGCAAGCCCCTGCCATCACATCAAAACAACTATAGGTGAGCGTCTGTCACTTTTGATGAATGTCAACCTATTTTCAAACTATCATTGTGATATTTCTGTTACCTGTCATGTTGGCATATTGAAATGGTTTATTTTTCCACCGTTCTTCAAGCCAACACATAATTAGCTCTCCAGTGACCCTGAATTTGTGGCATGACTCACATGCGTTGCCCTGAATGTGCTTTATTTACACTGTAGCACTGAAAATGTGCACAATTATAAAGATTTTTTAATGCCAGTTGTCAAACCCTGACAAGAACAGTATGCTAGAAGAGTTCATGCTTGTGTTCATAAATATTGCATTGGAAGTAAGCAAAACCCTTCTAATCTTGGACTGTACAATCATCATAAAAAAAAATAAAATAAAAAAAAATTACATAGGTGTCATGTCAGTCTTATGCACACCCCTTCAAGTAAAGTGTAACCTAATCCATAAATGGAACTGCAGTGATTCAGAACGTTTTAATGATTTAATTCAAACAAGACTGAATCAGCCATGAGAGTCCTCCTATTAAAAAAATGGCAATATAAATAACAATCCACTTAAGACTGCCATAAATATCGAGATGTTTGTTTAGAGATGGTAAATGGAGATCCGCGGCATGTTGTAATGAGATTAAATGTATTCGCTGGAGGCAGAGCAGTGAAGGCAGTTAAGCCACACATTTTTTGCAATTTTAATGTGCTTTTGGGTAAAAAGCAATTAAATTATTATATACAGGAGTCCAATTTCAGCTAATGTGTTCTGTGAGGAAAAAAACATAGATTCTTGCCTTTCAAACAGACTCACGGGGGATATTTAACAAAAAATTTATTATCAATTCATGTGCTGTCACATTTGGGGCAAAGCCACATTCATTACAGAAGTTTTCCCATCAGTAATATCTGTCATAGTGTATGTTCACAGGAAATGCATTGCTAAAGCATACATTTATTCACATTAAAACAGTCATCCTCAACAAAAAAAGAAAAAGATTACAGGAAAAGATGGTAATTCTGTACTGGCCACCCATACAGAAGACTCAGTCTGTCTCCAACGGCAAGCTAAATCATCTTCTCACACACCCTCCTCTCTGTCGCAGCCGATAGCAAAAGGCTGTTCCCACAGCATAAGTGGAGAAAGCTCAAACTGGGCAATTCTCCCAGTGTTCACCCCCAAATCTCGCAACAAAGAGCGCCAAATGGAAACACTGTCCCCGCGCTGAGCCCTGAGGTTCTGTTCTTGTCCCCAATCCGCGGTCACAAATGTAGATGTCAAAGCAAGAAACTGGAATTGCCAGTGCTAAATGGAATCCTAGCACAGGGTAAAAATATCAGAAGGGGAGATCTGTTGCGGGGCAATGACATTTTAAAGGCATTGCGGTATGAGACTCTGAGCAGTGTGGAGGTCCACTGCAGATGAGGTTCTATTCAATCTTCCAGCCTTGGCTCAGCTGCTGACCCTTTTAGAGGAATCGATGGTGAGCAGCAGCGCATGCCGGGGCATGAAACGCATTGTGTAATGTGCATGGATACCAGGGCTGACAGTTATGGTATGAGCAGCACCATCCTTGTCTTGATGCATCTTGATACTATCCAGAAAAGCATGTGCAGCAATGTGTGTTTGCACTGCTGTGTGCTTTAAATCAATTTTAAGTCTAAATGTATTTGTTTATGAGCTTTTTGGACTTTGGGTATAGAAAGGCAGGAAATAAAATGAAAGATTAAGGAATTGGATATGTTGCAGGGCAGACTTGAACCTGTTTTTTCCATATGATCACCATAACTTCTAAATAGTGGAAACTTTTGGCCATTTAATCTTTTAGTGATAGGTAAATAAAGACAGACAGGAAATAAAAATAAAGATTGGAGAATTGGATATGTTGTAGGCCATTTTTTTTTCCATATGAGCACAATAACTCCTAAATAGTAGATACCTTCAGGCATTTTGGCCTTTGACTGATCAGAAACAAAATAAAAAGTGGGAATCAGATATGTTGCAGGCCCGACTCAAACACATTTTTCCTGTGAGTGCAACAACCCCCTAAATGGTGGAAGCTTTAGGGCTTTCTGGCTGATAAGTGAAGCTAGACAAGTAATGGTGGTTAACAATTGGATAATTTGATATAATGCAGACTGGATTCAAACCCAGCTTCAAAACAAAAGAAACTTTTAGGGTTCACACTTTATTTTAAGGTCCAATTCTCGCTTTATCAAACCATTAACTATGACTTCTGCCTCAGTGAAATCCTAATTTGCTGCTTATTAATAGTTAGTAAGGTAGCTGTTAAGTTTAGGTATTGGGTAGGATTAGGGATGTAGAATATGATCATGCAGAACATGTGCTTTATAAGTACTAATAAACAGCCAATATGTTAATAATAGGCATGCTAATAAGCAACTACTTAATAGTGAGAATTGGTCCCTATACAAAAGCATCCTGGCTCCTAAAAGATTAAAACTTTGGGTGGTTTGACCTAAAGTTAATAGAAAAATTAAGCAAGATAGAAAATGGCAATGTTATAAATTGGACAATTGGATATGACACAGACCTAATTCAAACCTGCTTCCCCACAAAAGCACCTCAGGGCTTTATTTGACAGGTAAGTGAAGCGAGACAGAAAATAGCAAGATGGAAGGTTGAAAAATTGCATGATGCCAACCAGATTCGAACCTTTGCCCTCATAATAGCACCACAGCTGCTAAATAATGGAGCCTTCATTCCTGCACAGCTGAGTAGCTCAACTTTAGACAAATGGGAATGCTAATGTAGACATAATTCACTCTCTCCATATATTACACACCTCCTTGGCATTACACACTGCATTATAGAATTATGTTGTGCGTTTGTTTATGTGCACTCTGTATCTGAAGCTAGATTCTATTGCACTATATTTCTTCTAGCTACCTATTAACCTGTGTAGCTCGCAAACCACTATGTATCCTGCAGGCTAAAGAAACACTGAAACAAACCATTTGATCTTACAATACATGGGGGTTTATAGTATGTCCCACAGGCCCGTTCAACACTACATTGTCACCATAATAAAGCCACTAAACTCTCAAAATCACCTCTATATTTCATATATATATATATATATATATATATATATATATATGAGACCTCATTTTATTTCATGATAAAAACGAAATATATATAGATTTAATCTAAATATATAAATATACAGAAAGGCATTAGACAAAAATAATGGTAAAAAGTTTTCAAGACGGTATCAATATGTTTAAATCTTATATAACAAAATAGATAACAAAAATAACAAGTTAAAATCTGTTTTAATAAAATCAACCCATAAAAGTGCCTGTAGTTTAACAAAACCTCTATAGTTAAATATTTAGGTTAAATATTTATACTTTATTTGAATAATTATTTCACCCAAATGTGCAAAAGTGCACCATCTATTTTATTGTGCACTTAAGCTAAATGTGGAAATACTGTGCAGTTTGCATTATTTAACGTGCTGGGTCTGGGTGACAGACTCACATTTAAAGGTATAAGACTTTATACTAAAACACTGGCTGTAATATTTCAGCTGTGAGAGAATCTGCAATTCACAGCTTTAAGGTTTATGTGGCTAGCCTATTACTGTAAAGCGTGGCATACACTAGAGCTCTTTTTTAGAGGAATGATAAATGAGCAGGAAAAGGGTAAGAAAGTTTCTCTCTCATTGATCACGACTGGTGATCTTTGTGTCTGTGTGTGTTTTTTCTTTCATTGCTATCTTTGTTTAGCTGTAATAGTCGTGTGTGTGTGTGTGTGTAGCTCGCAAACCACTATGTATCCTGCAGGCTAAAGAAACACTGAAACAAACCATTTGATCTTACAATACATGGGGGTTTATAGTATGTCCCACAGGCCCGTTCAACACTACATTGTCACCATAATAAAGCCACTAAACTCTCAAAATCACCTTGTGCTGTTGCTCCCACTGGGCCGCTGGCTAACAGTAGTCAAAACAGACCAGGCATGGCGGTACTGTGAGGAGAAAGGAACTCATCATTCAAATGGGTTGTCCAATGTACAAATGCCTATTAAATAAGCACCATCACACACTTAATCAACCAGAGTGACTGAATGCAGATAAAATGGACAATTGCATCACCTTTAAGCACACTGACTGCCATTTAATATGCTTTTGCATTTGAACCGTTAGATCCAAATGAGGCTTGAAGAGCGTCAAAGCAGCAGAATCTTGATTGTGAAATTTATACAGCCATACCAGACTGATTATCAATGAATAAACTGTCAACAGTAATGACATTAAAGCACACTCATTAACTTTCCTTCAAACAGCTGAAAGCGCTTTACCAACATAAAAGAACTTGATGTTGTACATGATGTAGCTACAAAAGGT